TAATTGCAGCAATTATTATATATAATCAAGATATTTCAACATGTTGGATAGGTGGCTTGGGTGTACCTGCAAATTGCTGCAAAATGCACGAACAAGGCGCGGGAGTACTTTTGACACCCAAAGAATGCATGACGCGTTCAAAACTTTATTCAAGGAGATAGGATAAGAATAATTTATAAACAATGCAATAATTTAAGGAACAAATTGTAACAGAGTATTAAATGATCTAAGAAGTGTTAAAATTTAAAAGGAAGAAAATTCACAGCCGAGGATATATTTCTTGCTTTAAATCTGTACAAATAGTCTCCAAAGGTCTACTATTTTTGGTGACAAATATTTATTTTGCCATGTCCTCAAACATTGAGAAAGTTGCATTCAGAGATACAATAGTATAGCAGTGGTAATGAGTGTCTATTTAAATCATTAGGTTGAGCTATTTCTCCTAAAAAGTATTAGTACCAGATACTGGTGTTTTGATGTTGATGAAATATCATCATCTTTAGAATTGTTATATGATTGGATTGAATCTCATATTGTTGCAAAACAGTTATTTAGTATTGGTTTAAATGTTCATGAACGTAAGTTCATTGTTATATTTACTAAGATTATCTATTACATTAGTAAATGTAAACACTTATAAAGCGAGTCTATACCATACATAATATTTTAATGTATTTTGATTGAAGATTAGTATTATAATATTCTTCAAATAAAACTTGAGCAACATCCTAATATAATGTTTAAATTCAAGATATATCTGTTACCGACCTTGGGAATCAAAAATATTGCTTTTATTTTTCAATTCATAGACAATTGTATGTGCATAAAACATTATTCTGTTCATTGTAAACACTTTGTTGATCTTTGATGGCAAATTCAATGATAATGTTTTCATGATAAAACATGGTTAAATGTAATGTTATAAAATACTCATACAGAAACTATTCAAAGGTTTCGTTAAATGCAACTTTTCTATTAAATGATTATATAGCAAAAGAACTATTAAATGCAGAATTAATAAAGAACAATGTCTCGTAAATGAGTTCTAATCCTAGGAATTTGGATTTCTCTCAATTTTGATATCAATATATATATTTTATGTTTTTGTGACTTTTTGAAGTAAAACTTCTTTAGGCGCGATATAGGTGTAAAAATTCATTAGGCGCGACACGGGTGTAAATCCGTACAAATGCAACGAAAATGCCAACGTGAAGTAGAACACTACGACGCTGTAAGCGCTGATGTCGCGAGTCGCGATCCACTCCCGTCATGTCATGCGTAAGTCGAACGCTAAACCCTATATGAACTTGCATTAATTGAATCACGTTTTTTTTTACAAAAGAAGAGGTTGCTGTATTATGTCCTCATGGAATAAGACTTTTCTTAGAGAATAAATGTGTCATGGAATATAATAAATTTATATTGAATCTCGTTGAAGAAAAATAATATCTACTGCCACGGATATTTATGTAGGTTGCCATGCGACAGATCAACAATCATACATTCGTCAGCAGTTTCACAAAAATCGGTTATTGATACCGGGGCTTTGCCGTATGAAATAATTTTAGTTCTGAATAAATTTTACATAATAACAACTAATATTGATGTAAGTGATGGCTTAGCTAATGGTTGTGTAGGAAAATTAGTGTACATAGAACGTGGGGATAATGATGAACTTCTACGTTTATGGTTTAAATTTCCTGGTAAGATAGGTAACAAAATTAGGAAGAAAGCTTCACATCATATTCAAACTCTTAATATCAGTAGGACAGCTGTGCCGATGCTCAGGAGATCTTATTATTATTGATGTTATGTGATTATTAAAAGATGATTTTTAAAATTCAAATATGATGTTTTTGTTATTTTTATCTTAATTGCCTACTCATACAATATTAAAAGTTTTACTTCAATCGCGTGTGATCCTTACGCGCACTCTTTTTTTGTTTGTGAAGTATTTGTTCTTTTTAACAAATTTTCTGTTCTTTTTAACCTTTTGAATTTTTGTATTATTTGTCATTCCTTCTAAATTTGTCATTTCATCGTGTGCTCTTGTGCTTTTAGTTTCTTCTTAGTTTTTAAGTTTTTAATATATTAATATTAGTCATTAAGTAATTATTGAGTCAGTTATTTCTGCTTAGTTTAGTTAAATACTTATGTGGTTTTCTCCACTTAGATCTTTACTTTTTGAGATATAATTTATTCATAATTATAATACTTATAATTATGTATAATAATTATTATATTTTTAAACATTCCATAACTGTAATTATAATTGTTAATATAAACATAATTTTAATTGTTCTTTAAACATTTGTAATATATTTGAAAATATATTTTGTATTTCGTATGATTTGTTCTTATTTCCAATATTAAAAATTATTCAGGTTTTTTGGGCTGTATACGATACGTACAAAATTTAGAAGTGATATCAGGGGTTAATTTAATATTGTACATGTGCTGCCATCTATTTTTAAAAATTTGTATTTCAATCAAGGTAACGTCAAATCGCCAGACATAGCGATCTATTCATGGCCGGTAATCTCGGAACAAACATCTGTAATCTTGTTTTTAGTTCCCTCTCCCTCGTTTGGAGCGCTGGCAGCGCTACAAAACGGGCGAAAGAAAATATTCGAGAATCTAATATGGCGGAATAATAATATAGTGTCAAAGTGTCAAATGTTTGTTAAAAGTTTATAACAAATATCATGTCAAAGTGCGGTGTACAACAATGCGGAACACCAACAAATACGCGAAAATGATGTATTTCCTGCAGAAAATGACGTAATATGTAAAATGATTAGTTAAATAACTGGAGCCCGGACTGAGCACTGATGGTGAGAACTAGGTGAATAAGTTTTATCAATATGCACACAACAAAATACTCGCATCTATTACTAGCACTTCTGATATAATTTTATATTGTAGCTTAATAACTAAGACATTTAACAGTATTAATGCTAGGAATTTTAAGGTTATAAATACAAGACACCCGTCTTACTAAATCCCTTTCTGGAAGGTATGTTATTGAAAAATTATTTTTTTTATAACACTTTTTGTATTATTCTAATATAACATTTTATTGTAGCTTTCTTGGACTCTACAGTAGTAGGACACAAGGAGTGTTTGAATCGTCTCACATACACAGAGGATAATATATACATTTATGTACGTTTCTATGCTATTTGTGCATAGTTCATAAAGCTCACTAATCGTCATACATTTATGTGCAATTTATATATATATATATATATATATATATATATATATATTTATTTATTCATTTATTTATATTACAGTACACATTATATATGTGTATATATATACAAATATATAATATATACATTTATACAAATTGCATATCTTATAAATATGTATTGTAATAGTATAATGTAACATGTCATTGTTGAAATTATACTCTTTTTTATATTCAGTTTTGGTTTTTTAATTTAAAAAAAAAAATTGAATTCAAACGGTCTATATAATATTGGTGCATTTCTTCAGCATTTTATATTCGCACCCATGGTCGACGCTGGCGCCTTCTACATTGGGAGAGGGTTTCCCGGGCAAACCCGGGCAAATTGACAGTATTGACCGAAAAACGTGGCAACGAAATATGGCCCGAGAGAGCGATCTATATACTCTTCTTTTATCTATGGATCCATTATACTTGTTTATCTATGAAACTAATCACTTATCGCCAGGGCCTTTTTACTCAGTGCAAAATCCTCGTTCAAAAACCGTGTTTCGTGTTATCGACATCTAGGTAAGAATTTGGCGCTAGTGCGCCGATACCAAGTGACAGGTTGATAATTCTCTAGCTGTCTCCAGCATTAAGCGGCCATTTTGATCGGGATTGTTATTGTGTTTTGTGACTGTTCTGTTAAAGGGTGTTGTATATAATTGTTTATAAAGTTTTAATTGTTTATAAAGTTTGTTGTTTATACAAAAAGTATGACTCTTAAATCCAGAAGAAGTGTAGTGTATATAATAGAAAGTTTAGAATTTATGTAATACATAATGTAGTGTGCTGTGTATTACGCTTGATAAAACGGAAGGTGCGATTAATTCATTAAAAGCATTATCATTATATTAAAAGCTTCAGACAATGCCTTATGCTAGTCTAGCTTGAATGAAGACATCATAACTTATATATAATGTGAATACTCAAGACTGTGTTTTAATTCATTTTGTTATCATTAGATATCGTATTTCTGAATCATGTATTATAATTTGTTAATGACATATGACTGTATTTCACTAACATTATTGTAGTAACAAGTTAGAGTCCAATAAAAATTGTTATGATAATGTGTGATTTATATTTAAACCTGTAGTCATATTTGTTTTTTCTTCTTTTATTGATTTGATCTGACCCCAACATATATCATAATATATACTCTTGATTGAAATATTCTTATTATTACTTAATATATTTTTAATTTATAATTATATTTTCGCAAATTTTAATACAATTACAATGCAAAATTAAAATTCTAATTATTTTTAAAATTATTTTTTTTTATTGATAGTACAATATTTTTAAAGTACAAATATTTTTATTTCAAATTTTAGCGCTTCAATTTGAATGGCGATTGGAAGGCGATTGAAGCGCCATTGCAATATAGCGGCCGTAGCAATAACTAATTTTTTTGAACCTCAATATCGCGAGAATGAAACGTCTATATTATTATATTGTCTAGGCTTATCGCAACGCAACTTATAACGAAACTGATGGGCCGATTCTCGGTTTCAATTTTACGACAAGTTCACACTTATGTCGTTTAAAATGTCATTATAAGTGTAACAGTTATTCTCGGCGGTATGTGTTTTATCATATGATAACATTAATGTTACGCTGACCCTCTGAAAATAAACGTAGTCAGAAACTCGCACTAGGCTCGCACTTATCGCTATAACATTGACGAGAAGTTGTACTATGAACAGATTTGACATTTGCTATTTTGACATTTATGCGTTTAAGATGCTTTTTTGAGGTTATTGTTAATGTAAGCAAGTGATAGGTTTGGTTTAGCTTTTATTGTGAATTTCAAATTGTTAATATGGCGTTTTTCGGAATAATTTGGGCAGCAGATAGTAGGAGAAGAAGGTATGTTTCAATTTTAATATAATTCATACTGTTATTGTAATGAATGTATTACTCAAAAGTATTAAAATTATTAAATGCCACAACATTTTAGATACAGGCAAAGATACGCCCTTAGGTATCTCAGAGATGCAGATAATGTATGGGAAGTGAGTGATGAAATTTTTATAAAAAATTTTCGATTAACGAAAAATGTTATGAAAGATTTAATAGAACTGTTGGAACCACATGCGGAGACTCATACAGCATCATGGAGTATCCCTTTTTATTTGCGGGTATTGGAAATTAAAATGAATTAATTTTTTTGAAATACTAATAACTGAAATTTCATTATAGGTACTTGCAGCGATTCATTTTTTTGGTCATGGCTCATATCAGACTGATTTAATTATAAAGCATGCTACACCAAAGTACGTGAATTTTCCTAAAACCTCATCAGAAAGAGATGAAAATAAAAAGAGGTATATGTTACACCACTTCGTGTACATTGAACATGGTCTGTAATATGTTGCTATTTAACAGATTTTATACGAAGTTTGGCATGCCTGGCATTTTGGGTGCATAGACTGCACACACATAAGTATAGTGGCTCCCAAAAAAGATCACCCCGTGGCACCAGCTGCTATTTATATGAATAGGAAGGGCTATTACTCAATTAATATTGAAGTAGTAAGTATTATTTTATTTTGCTTAAGAATTTTGAAGACTAACATGATAATAAATAATATTAGATATGTGATGCCGATGAACGGATATTGTTTGCGAGCAGCAGATATCCTGGCTCCACTCATGATGCAGCCATTTGGAAGGTTTCGACAGTCAGAGCCCTGCTAACTCATAAGGCTGATGATGGGACATATTTATTGGGCAATTCAAGAATATATTTAATATCGCAAATCAAATAAGGAAAAAAATATATATTAGTTGTACATTTGCAGGAGATTCAGGTTACCCATTGGAACATTGCCTACTCACACCATATAGGACATCAGTAGGCTCTACCCAGGAGAAATACAATAGGTTCCACAAAAAGACTCGCAATGTAATAGAGAGAACATTTGATGTTGTTAAAAGTCGTTTTCGATGTTTGCATCGTCACAGGACACTGCATTATACACCTGATATGGCAGGAAAAATTGTGTATGCAGTATTTACTCTGCATAATATATGCAGAGAAAATAATATTCCTCTGGATGAAGAACTGACGGAATATAGTGATGATTTTGGAAACGGTTAGATACCAAATAATTGTATTTCAAATGTGTAGTTAAAATTAATTGATTTAAATATTTCAGAAGTATTGAGGCAGATAATATGGCATATAACATCAGAAATTCTTATGCCAGAAGATATTTTTAATACCATAATATTCACTTAAAAAAAAAGATTGTATTTTTATAGCTACATAAATGTAATTATTTTAAATAAATAAATATATATATAAATATATATATATATATATATATATATATATAAAGGAATAAAAAACAAAATTTATTGGCTGTTAAATTTATTTTTTAATGTATTATTGAGAATTTTCAATTGATCGGCTATGCATTGCAGCGCCTCTGTCTGTTTCTCCATCATGTCAGTAAGGGACTCTGTTTGTCTTTTCAATACGTATTCCATTGAGTTTACGAGGTGATTTAATTCATCTTAAAATAATAAAATGCAGAATGTATCACATAGTAATATAAGTAATATTTAAAATAGAAGAAAAATTATACTTACTATTGCCAGAAGTTCTTCGTCTCTGCATTGGTGGTCTAAGGGCATCATCTAAAAATTCTGGAGGTGGCATTATATCTTCTACCTCAGGATCAAAATTAACAGAATCAAGTTCAGCCTCGTTGTTGACAGATTTTTCGATAGGATACTATTAAAGAATTTAATATGTGTATATGTATATATACATATATATAATGAAATTACATTTAGTCCAATATCCATTTCCAGATCTGGATGGCCATCAATTGACCCTAGACCCCAAACACCTAAGGCCTTTTGTTCGACCTCTGTCAAGCAATTGGTTAATGCAGGCCCACCTCCTGTTGCTAAAGTATGAGCTTTTTGTTTCCTTGCTTTGGCCTTTGTCTGGTTTTTCCAACCCGCAAATATCTATATCGATTTAATAACATATGAATTATCATTTTCAAAAATATAACATACTAGCAACAAAAACTTTTACCATCATCCAGGATTCAGTAGGCCTATGAGGCCCATGACCACATGAGTTTAACAAATTGGTCCATTCCTCCCACTTTGCACTGAAATAATCCTTGTCGAACGAGGGGCTTAATTTATTAGCAACGAATTGTGGGTTGCTGATTAAAAAATCAACATATATTTCGTACTGCGCCGGATTAGTTTTTTTGGCTCTTTTCATTTGCGTATCACTGGCCATTTTGTATGCAAAATATATTTATCTCAAAAAATCGTGAACGCTTTTTGACTGGAAGTCCAGTACAAGTATATCCAAAATTGAAAAAACCGTTCGCGTCAGCACCGTAGAGATAGATTATTGCCGATTTCGAGAGTACAAACACAGAGAGCCAACATCAAAAAACCAAAAACTTTGTTCGCTCATGTTACGCCATAACCGAGAATAACTAATCTTCAACATACACTTACGCGAGGCATGTTATGCTACCATGAAAGTGCGATAACAGAGCGTAGCCATGTTAAGGCAGAATCGGTACATGAATTTAACGAATCAAATGCAAACAAACATGATCGAACGTTTTCGAAGATTATTTTATTGCCCGCGTAATATTTCTTACCCGATGAGTGCGAAATCGGGCACAAGAGCGCGACCGGCGGCAGGAGCTCTAACTAAATCCGGGTTACAGACATTTGTTCGGAGATTACCGGCCATGCATCTAATTGTGCTTGTTTATCTATGGCTGCGACTCACGCTATGGACACGTGTGTCGGCACCCTTACATTCGTTCTACGCTCTACAATTATCAGCATTCGTAATCTATGTATGTCGTTGCTCGTTGATGACAGGCGGTTCGTATTAGTTTCAATAAGTGTTTTGATGTGTAGCTCGATTTTATGGAAATTCAGTGCCTTAGTGGACGATTGTGGATTTAAATTGGCAGTAAAATGCCAATAGGACCGATTGTTCTCGGTTAGTAATATTAGCTGATCTATACTTTCGCTTATTGATATAATATAACCAAAAAAAACACAAAGAACATTTGACTCCATTCTATTCTGGATTCGGTTTGATTTATCTGCAAAATATTCGTTAGTAACATTATTTATAATTATAATTTTAACACGTTATTGATTTAAGTTTAAAACTCATTAAGTGCCTATCTACTTTGCTTTTTATTGATATCGTTTCAATTCAGGGACATGTTATGATGGCTAGTATTTTTTGTGGGTTGAGATTTTTTTCTGTTTAATTCGATTTCAAATCATATTTTCATTTATATATATCTATACCAAAATATCTGTATCAAATACGATAATATTTTATATTTTTTTAGATGTTGGTGAAGAATCACAGTCGGTGAAGGATTATGCAAATGCTTTACTTAGCAAAATCATCATATAATTTAAAGCTATACGAGGTAACTTGAGTAACAGATCGTTCAAAGTACGTGGTTAATATTAAACACTATAATTAAATGTGTTGTATTCAACCATTTGAAAGCACATTTAGCCTGTGGTAGGAAAAATATTGATTCACTTTTTATCAGTATCAACTAAAATGATAAAACTTATTGAACTAATAGTGACATTACATAAATTTTCTTACTAAATTAAATATAACTGTTTAATCTAAGATCTGTATTCATTAATTGTGGCTTGAGTTATCAAAAGGTAACTATCGCTAACGAATATGGTTTATTCAGATGATGATAATTCTAGGAACCCAATTTATTATCTATGCTTGAACCCTTAATATGATATTCAGTTGTTATGGAACAACCTAATTTTTGTTGTGTTATTCATTCTTTCTTGGTATATATTTCCCTCTTTTTTTATTTTGGTTTTATTACTTTTTCAATATGGATAATTTTGGATATGCTGTTAATTTATTTTTAGCCTTTGTAAATTAATGGACTATAAAACACATTATTAGATATAAAATGTATTTTGCTTACATTGTTATTTTAGTAAGTGTCAGAAGAATATTTGAGATCATGTGCTCATAGAACATCCCTTTATATTGTTTAAGAATGTCGTATTGTTTAAGAATTGTTTAAGAGTGTATCAGAAAATAACTTTTTTTATAAAGAAGAAAACTTTCATAAAGGAGTTAGCATATGATATCTTAATATTTGCTAGAAAAAGAAGAAGAAACAACTTAAAACAAAAACAAAATATTTATTGTAAACATAAACAAAATTGTAACAGATTATCTGTAAAATTAAAAACAGGTTAAAATAGCTAAATAAATTCAGTAATAAGGATTATTTGTGAGAATGTAGCAGATAAGATATAAATTTTTATTCCAAAAAATTTTTTTGCCTAAAAGAATGAAGTGAACGTCGCACATGTCTGCTGTTCAGAAACAATCTCTGAAACCATTATTGGTTAATTAATGATTTATTCCAATAGTTTAAAGTAAATCATTTAATGTATCTTATTTACTGCTACATTTGATTAATTTTTAATTATTAGTAAATCTGAAAAGCTTTTTTAGTTTTTTGTGTCTTTATAGTATTGCTTATATTCTTGTAAAAATTGAACTATAAATTGCTGGTGCTCTGGGTTCTTGCATAGTATACTATGGTATTCTTCCATTAGTTTCATCACACCCTCAGAGAAATATCATAACAACATTTTGAATTTCTTATCAATAGCAAACTCATCTGGTAATCTTCATTTTGACACTACTCAGACGGATTTAAATTTTTAAAAACGTATTTATTCCAAACCGTTAGAAAAACTGAAGCCTCGACAAATGAGGTAATGTTCCACTTATATACATCTCTAATATTTTGAATTTCGAAGCATTTCATTTTTTCTTAACTTTTGTCAGTACTTTTTAAGTTTTTAACATAATCACCATCTGGTTCTTAACACTATTCCTACCGGGACCGGTCAAATGACCGTTTTTGATTTTTCGATTAGTATTTTTCATATCAAATGTAACTGAATCGTCATCAAACTTTATGACTTTTCCTAATATGTGAGTATGAAACATTTTTCAATGTAAATTTGTTTTTTCAATTTTTATTTTTGGAAAAAAAATTGTATACTGTCTTACCTACCGCGACCGGTCATTTGACCGGTAGTACGAAGGACCATGTTCGGACGTCTTTTTTTGTAGTAATTGTTAAGAATATGATCGAACTTATAAGAAAATGTAAATTCAGAAGAATTTAGAGTGGTAAAAACTACATTCTGCAAATTTATATGCATATTTTTCAATTTTGTATGCACGCTGCGCAAATGAGGCAAGGTGTATAAATATTGTACTTCTACGGTATAAAAAGTGGGTTTTCTCTTTTTTGCTCAATGCCTATGTGTAGATAGATTTTTACGAAGGAATCCAAACAACAAATTGATAGGTTTTGTTTAGAATCCAAAGGTTGGTTCAACTACATTGACAGCAATCAAAATTGTTGTAAAAGGCCACGTATTACTATCGAGAAACATATATTTTCAAGAAAGGTAAGGTGTAAATTTATTCACCACATGTTCAATAATATTCAGGAAAGTGTATAAATTTTAACCGTTCAATATATGATGTAAATATAATTATGTTGCTGGGCATAATAATCGCACAAATAGGGTGTAAAATTTTGATAACCATCCAGTATACATAGCAAACTGAGAATTTCTTTGAAGATTTATAACCAATGAAACTATATTATCAAAATCGCTAATACGACGTAAAAAATATATAACATTTTTACCATCCTACATATAGCTAACAAACTGTTAGTAACAAAAAAAACTGTGATGGTAGGTACAATTGAATCAATATAACAACTACAAATACTGGTAGAACTAAAAATCAAGAACTTTATCACTGAAATAATATTTACAATTTTGGAAGCTAAAAAAAAGATTCTAATTTTCACTTACATACACATATGTTGAAAAAATTACTCTAATACGGGAGTCAATTCAATTGGTATTAGCGTCGTGTTTGGAGTAGATGTCATTCATAAAATAGTCAGAAATCATTCGGTAAAATATGAATTTTAGAGAGAATTTATCAAGGATTTACATTATTTTGTATTTATTCAGGATAAATCGACTGTTGTCACATAAAGAAATTACGGGAAGACGATGTACAAGGCAGGTACTTTCTATTCCAATTAACTTATCGTATAGTTCCATCAAGAATCCAGAAAAAAATCAACTAAGTACAAGTACAAAACA